AATTAGAATGAATAAGAAGGCAAGACTGTCTGGTTAAGACAAGAAGCATGTCTCTTAATTTACTCTTTCTGTTTACCCACCCCCTCAGGTGTAGTCCCTATAAATCTTTCAGTCTTTATCTATGTTTGTTTTGATCCTTATTTTGTGCAGCTAGAAAATGTAGTTATTTTGCTCTTACTAAAATATTTGATCCATTCTCAATTGATAAATTTTCCTACCATGTTTCAACGATTTACCTGTGATTTTTGATATGGAAAACATCTCACATCTCTATTAAGTCACTATTATAAGAGTCAATGTATAATATAAATAGAAGGAAAATTCACACTGAATTTCTTCTATATCATAATAGAAAGAAAAGCAAGGGTAGGGAGGAGGTAATTTCACTCCATAAATGATTCCAGCATGTAAGGAGTTTACAGTGTTCTCTCTGATTCCTAATTTCCACTAAAATATTCATAGCTCATCCATATTATTTTGTGTCTTACAAGTTGAATGATAGTGACTGGTTCTCTCACTCACTCAAAATAAGTAATTTATGTGTTTTCCATTATTCTGTATAATCTATGTTTTTATGAAACGCATCAAAGCATATTCAAATTCCCTCCATAGAAAGAAAAGCTGTCATTGTGAGCAGTTGACCCTTAGCTGAAATCTTGATCTCTACAACTCAGTCACATTCAAAAAATCTGAACTATGGAGAAAAAAAATTAGTCCATTTCAATGCTTTCTTTGGCCTCTGGAGTTTCGGTTATTAAATCTTTTGGCATAAGCAGACTTTGTGGGTGCCCTGGGTATCTGGTGTTCTTGATAAATGCCCTGGGGCCAAAACCTGCAATTATATTTACTGTTCCCACAGACGGTTTTTCTGTTGAGCTCAGTTAATGTTCATACACAGTTACCTGGAATTTCAACTAATTTGTGTTTATTGCATCAAATTATTGAAAATAATGATATAATGTGATAGATTCAAAAATAATTTGAAAAGACATCATTTCCATTAAATGAGTAAACAAGTTATTCATTTAATTTTAACTAGATAATATTACAATGTCTAATAAATATCCCCATCTTCTGAAAGGTGTAAATACCATTTGATTTCTACTAATGAGTAACAAATTACTCCTTAATCTCATGCTACTAAGTGATAATCAAATTTCATGTTGTGTGGGGAAGCTAACAAATAATCCATTATATTTTTGGCCAGGTATCCATTCACTCTTTTACCTTTTAGGTCCAACTGACTTGTATCTGATCCAAGTAAATTTCAAAAAGTGAAACATGCATCTTTTTTGAATAGTTTGCTCCCAAATGAAATAAAGTGAAAATGTACTGTGATGAAAAATATTCATAAACTGGAAAGGAATTGAGTTTCAGAGCAGGGCATCCTAGTTGAAAAATATGAGGGGTGTTTTTTTTTTTTTTTTTTTAAAGATTTATTTATGTGTCTATACAAGCACTGGGTACAGTCAGAAGCGCGGGAGGGTGAGAGAATTCACCAGAGCCAGAGCGGGGAGCAGAGCAGGCAGAAGGACCGAAGTACACTGCTGAGGGGAGAAGCGGGCGGCAGGAGAGGTCTGCGCGCCGTGGGATCCTCGAGCAGCCGGGGATCGAACCGGCGCCACAGAGGCCGCGGGCAGCTTCGCAACCCAGCGCTCAACCGCTGCGCCACCGGGGAGGCCCGAGGGGTGGTTTTTGTAGTGTTTTTTTGTTTATGGTTAGTTTGTTTGTTTGTTTGTTTATTATGTTCTGACATCATTGTCCATTTTTGTACAGTATTTGATTTCTCCCCTCAGATGTAGTCCCCATAATTCTCCCACAACTATCACCATAGTCTCCCGTGCTCTTCCCCCTCTACTGTTTTTACCCCTTTTAGTCCTGCTCTCCTGCATTGCATCAGATCTATGGTTTGCCTGTGAGTTTTGATTTTTTCCTGATCTTTTGTTTGGTTTCCCTATATCCCCCCTATCAGTGAGACCATCCAATACTTTCCTCTTTTCTTCTGACTTATTTTGCTGAACATAATCCTTTCCAGCTCCAACTATGTTGCCACAAAAGGCATGAGTTTATCTTTTTTGAGTGCTGAGTTATATTCCATTTTGTATATATTCCACAACTGCTTGATCCATTCATCTGTTTTAGGGTATTTAGGTTATTTACATATCTTAGCTATTATAAATAGTGCTGCAATAAAAATAGGAGTGGAGATTTCCCATTTGCATGTTTATGAGGTTATTTCTTTAGTGATTTATTCCTTTCTCTTTTTAGTCTCACTTCTGACACTGAATACAGGGTTTTCTCAACACTTCCACAGCACTTAAGTCAGACATAGAACCAGGCCCCAGGTTACCATTTCCTCCCATGAGAATGGCTCTACCGGACACCACCTGAATGTCCAGGTCCTTATATGACTGATATACAAGCTATTATTAGGGGTTCCACTTCTTCCCAACAATAATATTCTAGAGTAGCTCACAGAACTCAGAGTGGTCTATTTCTAACTCTTAGTGATTCATTAGAAAAAATAAAAATCAGAAATATAAGGAGTGCAAGACAAGATTTGGGGAGGTGAGCAGAATTGTCTCACCTTCCTTGTCAGAATAACTCCCCAGCACCTCCTTGGGTTCCACAACCCAGAACTCCCTGAATGCCTGCTGCTTCAGGTACATTGGTGGCCACATTACATAGACAAGATTGCTTAAACTATTGGTTATTGGCAATTAACTCAACCTTCAATTTCTCTCTCCTCTTCAGAGGTCAGAGATAGGACTGAATGGTTCACGTTCTAATCACATGGCTGTTTTCTGGCAAACAACCATCATCTTGAATATACTTGAGTGCCCACATTGAGTCAATTTATCAACATAAATGAGTCATTATCAATGTAAACTGTGATATGTTGAAAAGGCTTCTGAAGAACAAGATGCTCTTCCCACTCTACAACTCAGAGTTGTAGAGTGGGAAGAGCATCTTGTTCTTCCCACTCTACAACTCAAGGAACTACATGGGTTAGGCATGCTGTGACAGGAACAGAGGACAAAAACCAAGTATATATTTCTAATTGTGTCACATTATCACAGATTGATGATAGATTTACCATATATACATTTGTTTCTTAACACAAAGACATTTACGCTGCTTGATTTGTGATACTTCTGTGTGTGTGTTCAATCAATATTGAAACTTCAGAAATATATCATTATACATTAATAATCATGTTGCAGTAATATCCCATTGAAATCAGACTGCCCTCAGAATGGTGGAGAGAGATTAATTTGTCACACGGGCGAGCTCAGTGGGATCGTTCCCAAAAGCCTGAGCCCAGAATCGCAGGAATGATCAGGTTTAATATAGTTTGTATATGGAAGCTTGTCATCCCATGTATAATAGATTTTCTTTATTATTTGGGAAGGGGATCAAGGTCACCATAGTTACTACTGAGTGCAAATGGTACATTGCAAGAAATTTCCGCTTAAGCAAGCAGCAGAATCCAGGTAACTGATTCCAAGCAGCAGACTTAGCAACTTCCTGAATCATTTATGGAACTCTTGATGAACTAAGAGAAGAAAGGAGATCAGGCATACACGTGTAACTTTTGTTATAGTCACCTTGCTAGTCATTTATGGTATTTATCCTTTCTTCCTGTTGATTCAATTGCCCATTATTTCCATAACATCATAAATTCTGTTTCCACTCATCCTACTAGCAAATATATTGCTTTTCCATGTGTTCTAAAACTGGCAATACATTATATACCTTTAATTTTACAGAACTGCTTCTTGATATAGTTAAAGGAGTAAAGAAGAACTATCCAGCTATATTGACATTTTCTAAAATCAAAACCCACGAGTTAAAAAAAAGCATGTCTTGAGTAATGCAATCAAAATACAACTATAACTTGTGTCCTATACAACTATTGGTTTATTTGAAAAAGAAATCTCAAAATTACAGAGCAGTTCCAAGATTAGTACACTAAACTGTTTTTCTTTTCCGTTTTTCCCCCACCACCAATCTTTGTGTCCCTTGGCCTTTCCCCTCCCCACTCTCTCTTTAATCTCAGACCCTCAAGATATTTGTTGATGTCCAGGAAATTTTGACGAGTTTTGTGTTGAATTATCTCTTATATGAATAACCAATATTTATTTTTATAATTCTGATTAGTAGCACTATGTATACTTTTTTCAAATTCCCTCCATTTGGTTGGAAATTACTGCATTTCATTCTTTGGAGAATATATAATGTTAACCTGATGGGATTTTCTTTATAGAGGTCACTAATTCTTTTGCCTAGTTAATCTTATTATTGTGTCTTTGTCCTAAACTCCTGACCATTTCATGAATATGTACTTCTCATTACATTTAGATACTCAGGTGTTCTTTTAGCTTTATGAACAGATAAATTTACTTCCTTCCAGGTTTATGGAGTTTTTCTCTGTATTTTATAAATATGTTCTCTTCCTTTGTCTCTGTCTTCCGTTCTTGGATATGCTGTATCATTATGTTGCCTATCCCAATGGACAGACAGATCCCCTAGGTTTCTGAATTCAAGCATCTTAACATTGTTTCCATGGCCATCTTACCTAAAGTCATGTACATATTCAATGTAATTCTTATCAAAAATTTAATGACATATTTCACAGAAATTGAACAAATGAAATTTGTATGGAACCACAAAATCCAAAGCAATACTAAGGGGGAAAAACAAAAATGGAGGTACCATCTTTCTGGATTCAAACAGCATGATACTGCAATAACAACAGGCACACAAATCCAAGGAACAGCATAAAGAGCCCATAAATATATGTACACATATATCCCCAGCTAATTTAAGACAAAGAGCCAAGAACCTTAAAAGAAAATAGCAAAATATCTTCAATAAGTGGTGCTGGTAAAACCGAACAACCACCTGCAAAAGAATTTGATTACAACAGGGTATCACCCCATACTCAAAACTGTATTCAAACAAAAGTGTATTCAACAACCAAAAAAAAAAATCTGCATTCAACAAAAGAGGTCAGTTTTTCTTCTTTGGAATACCTTTCTTAGAGCAACCTTTATAGCTTTATTTCTTAGGCTATAGATCATTGGATTGAGTGTTGGGGGCACAACTGTGTACATAATAGTCAGCAAAACATCCAGTGCACTTGGAGAGTCAGAAGGTGGCTTGAGAAACTCAAAAGAGGCTGTTGAAATGAATAATATGACCACAGCAAGGTGAGGAAGGCAAGTGGAAAAAGCTTTAGCTCTGCCCTCAGCAGATGGCATCCTCAGCACAGTGGAGAATATCTGGATGTAGGACAGTCCAATACAGGTGACACAAAGAAAGGCCATAAGACCCACAAAGCCAGTGACTCCAATATCACTGATATACTCATTAGAACACGAGAGTTTCAGGACCTGAGGGACGTCACAGAAGAACTGGTGAATCTGGGAACCACAGAAGTGAGTAGAGAAAGTGGCAGTTGTGTGCATGGTTCCAGTAATGACCGCACTGATCCAGACGCCTAGAACTCCGAGGACACAAGTGCTGGTATCCATAATGATTTCGTAGCGCAGTGGAAGGCAGATGGCCACATAGCGATCATAAGACATCACTGTGAGCATGGATATCTCAGCAAAACCACAGAGAATGAAAGCAAAACACTGCACTATGCATTCCCAGAAGGAAATGTAGCCGCTGTGCATGAAAGAATTGTAAATGGACCTTGGTACAGTCACAGAAATGTAGCACAGATCTAGGAAGGAGAGATGTTTCAGGAAGAAATACATGGGTGAGTGGAGGCTACTGTCCATGGAAGTTGCGGTGATAATGAGGATATTGCCAGTTACTGCCACTGTGTAAAAGACTAAGAAAAGAGAAGCAAGTAAGATTTCTACCTCAGGTTTGGCAGAAAATCCCATCAGAAGAAACCCACTCATAGTGAAATTATCCATAGTCCTTCTTAATTTCCCAGTGATGTTTGCTGCAAAACAAGATGGAAACCATTTCAAATGGTATGAATCACAGGTGCTATGTGTATGGAGACTACATATGAGGGAGGAATAAAATATTGTCCAAAAATAAACAATGGTATAAGAAAATAAAAAATAAATATTGAAAAATAAAATAAGTACAACAGCAAAATTTTGACAAATCCTAAAAATATAATTAAATAGTTATTTTCATGATAATATTTTAGATGTTCTTGAAAATTATCTGTATGACATATCTTTTCTGATGTGGATTTGACCATCATTTAGACAACAAAAAAGTAACACATGTTATAAACACTTAAGGTTCTCAGGATAAGTGAATGCATAAGAATAGAATAAGCAGAGTTAAGGAGTATAAGGAAATAAAACAAATAACTAATAATTTTTAAAAAAAAAGTCCATTCACAAGTCCATCCCAGAATTTTCTTTATCCCAGAGTTTTCCCTATGAATTAGAATGAATAAGAGGGCAAGAATGTCTGATTAAGACAAGAAGCATTTCTCTCATTACACTCTTTCAATCTTAATCTATGTTTGTTTTGATACTTATTTGTGCAGCTAGAAAATGTAGTTATTTTGCTCTTACTAAAATATTTGATCCATTCTCAATTGATAAATTTTCCTACCATGTTTCCACAATTTACCTGTGATTTTTGATATGGAAAACATCTCACATCTCTATTAAGTCATTATTATGAGTCAATGTATAATTTGAATAGAAGGGAAATTCACACTGAATTTCTTCTATGTCATTTTGGAAAGAAAAGCAAGGGTAGGGAGGAGGTAATTATACTCTATAAATGATTCCAGCATGTAAGGAGTTTACAGTGTTCTCTGCCAGATTCCTAGTTTTCACTAAAATAAACATAGCTCATCCATATTATTTCATGTCTGACAAGTTGAATGATAATGGACGGTTCTCTCACTCACTCAAATAAGTAAGTTATGGTTTTCCACTATTCTCTATATTTTTCACTATTCTCTATGTCTTTATGAAACTCACCAGAGCATATTCAAGAACATATTCCCTCCATAGAAGGAGAAACTGTCAGTGAGAGGCTGACACTTAGTTCAAAGTCTCGATCTCTACAAATCAGCCACATTCAAAAAATCTGAACTGTGGAGAAAACAGTTAGTCCATTTCAATCCTTTCTTTGGCCCCTGGAGGTTCAGTTATGAAACCTTTTTTAGCATAAACAGAGTTTGTGGGTGCCCTGGGTATTTGGTGTTCTTGATAAATGCCCTGGGGCCAAAACTTGCAATTATATTTACTGCTCCCATAGACGATTTTTCCGTTGAGTTCAATTAATGATCATACATAGTTACTGGAATTTCAAATAATTTGTGTTTATTGGATCAAATTATTGAAAATAATGGTATAATGTGATAGATTCAAAAATAATACAAAAAGATGTCATTTGGTTCCATTAAATGAGTAAACAAGTTATTCATTTAATTTTAACTAGATAATATTACAATGTCTAATAAACATCCCTATCATCTGAATGGTGTAAATACCATTTGATTTCTATTAATGAAGCAACAAATTACTCCCGAATCATTTGCCATTAATGTCAATTTAATTTCACTTTGAGTGGGAAAGTAAAAAAACAGCCTTTTAGAAAAAAATCTAGTGTGTGGTCTATGGTCTTTCTATATAAACATAATAATTATTATGAAAGTAAACTCATTGTTTAAAGAATAATCCCAAATTAGAATAGTTAACTAGCATGCATTCATTCCATTATCACAAAACAAGTATTCATCCCTATCTTTTCATAAATGAGAGCTTTTCCAGTCCTTTAATGGTACAAAATTGAATTCAAATGGTTCTTGGGCCTACTCTGGTGGTGCAGGCGGTTGAGCGCGGTGCTATGAAGCTGTCCACATCCTCTGCAGCGCCGGTTCCATCCTGGCTGGCCAGCGAGGGTCCCACACGCCTCGGCAGACATCTCCTGTCTCGCTCGCTGCTCCCCTCAGCAGTGTAATTCATCAGTCTGCCTCTTGTGTTCACCGCTCTGTCTCTGGTGAATCCTCTCACCCTCCCACGCATCTGGCCTGTGTACCCCGTTCATGTATAAATAAATAAAATCTTTAAAAAAAAAAGAATTCAAATGGTTCCTATGTAAACAAGATAGTTTATTATTTTAACAAAATAATTCAACATTTGTGAACTAAAAATAGCATACAAAGGTGTAATTTAAGTCATCCATTCAGTACATGTATCTGTGTTCCTGAATTTTGAGAATAAAAATCTTTTTCTTTTTTTTTAATATTTTATTTTATACAATTCTTACATAATTTTTCATTTTTGCACAATATATGCATTTTCATTTTGGTTATATTTCCCATACAATTGCACACCCCCCCCTTATTTTGACGCTTATCCTTCCTCTCCCCAACCCCCCGCCCCCATAGTGTGTCTCTGGTTGATAGTTGCTTGTTGATTTTGATTTTTAGTTTGTATTAATTAGTCTTTTTCCTGGTCCCTTATTTAGGTTATCTAAATCCCTGCTATGAGTGAGACTATCCGGTATTTTTCTTTTTCTTTCTGACTTATTTTGCTGAGCATGATCCCTTCTAGCTCCATCCATGTTGCTACAAACTGCATGAGTTTATCTTTTTTGATTGCTAAGAATTATTCCATTGTGTATATGTACCACATCTGCTTGATCCAGTCATCTATTTTGGGGCATTTGGGTTGTTTTCAGAGCTGATGAGACTCAACAAAAACAAAGAAAATAATCCAGTCAAAAAATGGACAGAAGAGGGCCTCCCTGGTGGCGCAGCGGTTGAGCGCTGGGTTGTGAAGCTGCCAGCAGCCTCTGAAGCACCAGTTCATCTCCGGCCCCCTGGCGAGGGTCCCACATGGTGCGTAGACTTCTCCCGCAGCTGCTGCTCCCCTCAGCAGTGTACTTTGTCAGTCTGCCTATTCTGCACTCCGCTTTCTCTCTGGTGAATTCTGTCACCCTCCCGGGCTTCTGACTATACCCAGTGCTTGTATAAATAAATAAATAAATCTTAAAAAAGAAAAAAATGGGGCCTCCCCTGGTGGCGCAGTGGTTGAGCGCTGGGCTTCAGAGGCTGCCCGCAGCCTCTGCAGTGCCCGTTCCTTCCCTGGCCACAGGCGAGGGTCACACAAAAAAAAAAAAAAAAAAGTGGACAGAAGAGCTAAAAAGAAACTTCTCCAAAGAGGAAATGCAAATGGCCAACAGGCATAGGAAAAAATGTTCAACATCACTTGTCATCAGGGAAATGCAAATCAAAACTACCATGAGATACCATCTTACACCAGAGAGAATGGCACATATTTAAAAAACTAGCAACAGCGAATGTTGGCGAGGGTGTAGAGAAAAGGAACTCTCCTGCACTGCTGGTGGGAGTGCAAACTGGTCCAACCACTATGGAAAACTGTGTGGAGATTTCTTGACAGATTTCTTGATAGAGCTTCCATATGATCCATCAGTTCCACTCCTAGGTATTTACCCAAATGACACAGAAAGATTAATTCCAAAGGCCACCTGCACCCCTATGTTTACAGCAGCACTATTTAAAATTCTTTTTCCTAATGGAAAAATATCACAGATTTCTGACAACATTTGCTTATGACAAATAAATATGTCTTTGAAGAAAATCAGAATATAAAATTTCATAGACTTGCAAGTTGTCCAGCTCATGGAGGACATACAGATTAAAACTGAAGAAAACCGAAAAAATTTTAGAATCTTTTAAAATTTAATACTACAGAAAATCATATAGGTATCTTTCCATACCTCTAGGATTACTACATATTAGCATTGCAATATCTGTCTTTTCACATATTAATAAAAGAAGTAGTAAAGCCATAAATAGCAAAGTAGATTTGGCTCAGTGTGAGAAAGACCTCTATAATGTTTCAGCCTTTATTTTTTTAACATTTCTCTTTTTTCAAGATTTATTTATTTATTTATATGAGCACTGGGTACAGTCAGAAGCGCGGGAGGGTGAGAGAATTCACCAGAGCCAGAGCGGGGAGTAGACCAGGCAGATTGAGCAAGTACCCTGCTGAGGGGAGCAGCGGGCGGGACAGCAGAGGTCTGCGCGCCATGTGAGACCCTCACCGGGCAGCTGGGGATCAAACCAGCACTGCAGAGGCTGTGGGCAGCTTCGCAGCTCAGCACTCAACCACTGCATTACCAGGGGAGGCCCTAAACTTTAAAGAGTAAATGTGGTGTCCTAGAGCTGTATTGAGGTCCTACAACTGTTCAGGCTGAGGTTGATGACTGCTGCATAGAAGAGGAAATATATTTATAATTTGGATAGGATGTTAGCCATGGTGATCTCTACAATTTTTCTAACTCTAAAATTCTGTGAGTTATTGTAATATCAAAAGTATATCCATTTTGTGTTGATTTTTGTGCACAGTGAAATGTAGTGGTCTAGTTTCATTTTTGTTTTTTTTTTTTCCATGTGGTGGTCCAGTTTTCCAATTTATTGAAAAAACTGTCTGTGTTCCATTGCATATTCTTTGCTCCTTTGTCAAAGATCAGTTGTCCATATAAGTATGCTTTTGTTTCTGGGCTCTCTATGCGGTTCCATTGGTCTATGTGTCTGTTTTTGTTCCAATACCAAACAGCTTTAATTATTATGGCTTTGTAGTATAGCTTGAAGTTTGGAAGTGTGATACCTCCTTTCTCCATTTTCATCAGTAGGGCTTTGGCTATTCATGGTTTTTTGTGGTTCCATATGAATTTCAAGAGTGCTTGTTCTATTTCTTTGAAGAATGTCATTGAGATTTTTATTGGAATAGCATTGAATCTGTATATTGCTTTTGGTAGGATGACCATTGTAATAATGTTAATTCTTCCAATCCATGAGCAGGGGATATCTTTCCATATCTTTGTGTCTTCTTCAATTTCTTTTAAGTTTTTTATAATTTTCTTTGTATAGGTCTTCAAACTCTTTTGTTAAGTTTATTCCCAA